CACGGGAACTTTCCTTACAGGACGTGGAACCACGGGGCAACTGCTACGAGCCATTTCTGGAGGAATCCGCATAAAATTGGGGATCGGTACAGGTGTCCATACCGGCTGAAGTAAAATCTTTCAGGCACCTTATGTAAAGTAATGATAATTTTTTGGGTAAAAAATTTCAAAAATACTCAAGAAAGCTCTGGACTTGGAAGTTTTTCACTAAAAGCTAATCAAATATGGAGATAATTATGTAGAATAAATTACCGTAGTAGGTAAGGTCATCTGCTGCAGCCCTCTCATTGGCATTGTTGGCATTTGATAGTTGTTTCCGACTTTCATGGCGTATTTATTGGTGTTTGCCAATGGAGAATTCATAGGAGATAAGGAGAAGCTGCCATATGAACGCTAAAATTGCATAATCATATAACCACAACTCACGAATGCAGTTATGTTAACAATAAAAAATCTTCCACCAGACAAGTTTCCGGTAGCCGGAGAATTACTGTGTCAGAATATTGCTTGCTCAAATATGAACGCTAAAATAAGGATGAAAAGGATCAATTTTCAACCACGCGTATAGGAACGAGGAGGGTGCGCGCGCTCCAACTAGAGTGTGACCGACCCGTACCCTACCATATCATTTTCTATCCTTTTTTGGACGTATTCCTTCGCTTTTGATGCTATGACATTAATAAAGGGTTTTTTACTGATTAGATGGGGAGGGTGGTTCAATATTATTACGTGAAACTAATTGTTTGCCTTATATCGACTTGTCATAAATTCTACCGAGAACGAACTGGTGAATAACAGGCAATTAGCTAACCTGAGCCTGAGGTCTAGGTATAGCGTATCCACGATCCGATTCCATCCCAGAAGTTTTTGCGGCCATTGACGCATTCAAGTCTGCACTCTGCCTATTTCCCAGACGAAATTCTGTCTCTTGACGAAGGCGCTCAGCAGCCAGCTCGGCAAACATCATCAATGATGAAGACGCTTGTGCTACGAAGTCCTCTGATCTGAAAGAAAAATCGTGAATG